ACACACCTACACTCATAGTTTACAGAGCCTCATGCAGTGTCCAGAAACCCCACAGCTCAAGAGAGTCTATTTAGAATGCAATGCAGGCAGTAACTAAAATAGAACTACTCACTACATCAACAAAAATGTCATAATCTTTTCTCATGGATGAGCTATCCTATGAAACTATTTTCAGGGCAAGGATCCAGTATTAAATCCAGTGAGAAATACAAACACATAAACTCTGCATCTCAATCATCTTATTAACATGCAACAAAGAGAAATAATAATTATAGATTTATTCAGAACATATGATTCAATTAGGTATTTATTATTAATATTTGATAAATATCGGATCTTAAATACTGAATGCTTGTTCAGTATTCCACAAATAACAGTAGGATAGTGTTCAAGACCATCAAGATTTCTAAGTTGAAAATACATAATTAGAAGAAAGAACTAAAAACAAACCAAGATTATTGCTGCCCCCAGGAAGAGAAACAATAGACCTGGCTATATGGTGACTTCCATTCTGAATAGGGTCATGGAAGTAGTAGCTTAATTTTAGACTTAGTTGAATTAACCTAGTCAAGGGGCAGTCACATTCTTTAAACTTACATTACATGCGTAGCTGGTAAGCAGAAATTATACCAATCTCTCCTGTCTAAATCTTCCTAATAGTTGCGCAGTCCCCATAATTATTAAGAGTTTGCATAATGGTTGGAATGGTGGTGTATCGTCTGGGAACCATTGCTTGGAAAGGGCTGGTTTAATGTGATGGAAGATAGCTAAAGATGCAGTTTTCCTATTAAATATTTGCTTAATTTGATTTCACCCTAATTTACTGTCCCCACAGACAGCAATTACAAACAATTCTATCCAATCAATTAAGATATTTTCACAAATTAGGATGAAAACCAATTTAAGAAAGGTATTGCAGAAAATATACTGACTATGTATGATGGAAGTTCACAGCAGGAGGGCACAACTTGGTTTGGAACAAGGATTTGGCTTTTAGAATATCAGTATCGTTTGGCACCAGGAAACAACTAAAATACTTTTACGTTTACATCAGATTAAATCTACAATTAATAGAATTATTTTACAGTCACAATTAATGTTGTCACCTTCTGTTATAACACAAAAATATAATGCAGTTCTGGGCATAGCAACTCAAGAAACTCCTTCCCCCCTCCAAAAAAAAAAAAGAAAAGAAAAGAAAAAAGAGAGAGAGAGAGATAGAGAGAGATGGATAGAGGGGAAAAATATACACTCTATCCTTGTGATGAAATCAGACTATTTTAGCCATGTACTTGTCCATTCCCAATGAATGAAGATAAAAGATTTCTATTGATTAGAACATATATAAAATATGACAAAAGAAAGCTCAGGACTATATTGGTTGGAAATATGCAGAAGAGGCCTTCATCCTGCAGTGGATAGACAATGGCTAAAATGATGATGATGATGATATAAAATATAAGCATGAAAAGTGCTTATATGACCTACTTCATTTATCTGTTTTACTTCTTTAGTAATATTCTTCTTCAGGTAATAGTTCCCAGCAAACTTCATTTCAAGAAAGGGAACCAAGTGGAGAAAAGTATCTATGAAATAAACTGTAACTAGATAAATGTGAGCAGAATTCACTTAGTTCCCAAAAAGCTCCTTTCCATATAAAGAACCACAACTTTATATGCCTATGGGCCAGACCATTACATTTAATTTGCTTTAAGCCAACTACCTCATTAAATTTGATTTAGTATCAAGATGAGGCTATATTTTCTACAGATTGGAGAATTCATGAAAAGTATTTTATGTGATGCTTTACACTTTGCTTTGTTTTTTCCCCCCCATACTGGAGTTTAAAGGTAGGCGCTATACCGAATGCCTGAAAACATTTATTTTGGTGCTTGCTGTTGGTATATTAAAATTTTTACTATAGTAAAGTGACTGTCAAACACAAAAGGTAAAAGAACAGTTCTAAAAAACAGGTTATGAAATAGTAGAGTAAACAGTACTGTTATCCAAGGAGCTTTCTACTCACCATATTTTCAATCACACAACTAATAGGAGCTTTTTTATGTTGGGGAATATGGGAAACAAAGGCTGAAAGCAAAAAATTCTAAGAAGCCTCTTATGACCCCAGGGCAGATTTTTTTTCTTAAGTCAAAATTCAAATGACTGTTCATAGCAGCCTTGCAGCAAAAAAAAAAGTTTTCTTTTCATGTCTGTAAATCACACAGATTGAATTATTAAGCATGATTTTAAAATAAAATACCAGTCTCATTGAAAAAGGGTGATTGCTTTACCAATCCACATTTTTAAGCAATGGTATCTCGCTATCAGCATTTCATTCTAATTTTCAAGAGTAAATCAAAGTGTTTTTATTTATTTATTTATTTCAATTATGCAGACACTTCCAAGTTTCTTTTCTCAATTGTTGTTTGTTTAGAGGTCAGTGGTTCTATGCTAAGGAGTGCATTTACAGTGCAAACAAGCATTGCCTTTTTTACTCTAACTTCTAGAAATGGCAAGTGTTATGTAAGACCCTGAACATTTTCATAAAATATCATATATTTTTTTCTATACATGCACAATTTAAGTAAAACTGATTAAAAAATCTTTTTCTACATTAGCCTTTTGAAGAAGTGGATCTTAGCTTCACCAGTGACATTTTTCATTTCTAGACCTGATCAAAACAATATTAATTTTAAATTTAAAAGTACAATAACAGAAGAAACTATAGTGAATAATATAGTTTTACCAGCACGGTGTTCAGATATGATGGGTTTAAGGTCCCATACTGGTTGGAAATTCTGTGACCTGGATGAACATATATACAAGGCACAAATTTGGGGATACTAGGGATGTAGGACATTGTTGAGATGTATATACAATACATGCAAATATATATGTACAGTTCCTGTGTTATGATATTCTCACAACAAAACTAACATTGTCCTTCTTCCCATAGTCAAAAGAATCAAAAGCAAAGGCCAAAATTTCATATTTTTATCAAGAAAAAGAATCAGGTTTATAAGTCAAGGAGATTCAAGATATCAATGTTTTTTGAGGAAAAAGTAGGTCATTTGTGACGGGAAATTAGGCTGCTTCTATTTAAAGATTTTAGTGAAATTCATGGTATTTGGGGATTCACTCCCCCCCTCTTCATCAGAATCCTGATGAGAGCCAGTTTGTATAGCATTCCATCTGCACACACAAAAAGAATCTGTGGTTGAATGATCAGAGTTATAGTCAAATGTGCTTCTAAACAGTGGAGAAAGACACATTAATACCTCATACAGTGAACTGGAACCCAGACAGAAAAGAAAAATGAGCTGTTCTCTGGGAAAATGAGCTTTCCACTATTTCAATCATATAATCTGCATATTGGGATAAATGTAAACTGATAATTGAACAGTACATAGTAGAAAAGAGATCAAAGGATTATAAGCAGTTTATGTATTTTTTATCCCAATAAATGATTTTTTTTACTGAAATTCTCAAAACTTTTAAAATGTAGTATATATGTTATTAGAAATATGAACTAGCCTGCAGCTTTGGAGATTCCAGAAAGTATAATTTTCATCTGTTGCCTGAAGTCTTATAGTCTTGCGGTGTAGCATGGTAAACCTTTACCTACTGGAAACCTTTTATTTTAATAGATCTGCTGGATGGCTTGCCTGAAGCTACAGAATTGTTGCAAACCTAGTGCCAAAGAATGATAAAACATTATCACTTTTCTGGCCTGAGAGATCTTTCTATTCCCTGTTGTTTTCATTGGAGATTTATTGAATTGTGCCCCCCCTTATTTCCATTATCAAGGTTGGCAGGTATAGTACTGTACTTGAAAGTGTTTTTAAGAATTACCTAGAGACTATTTTATGTGATGAAAATAAACCAACTTCTTGATAGGTTTTGCTGCAGAATAAATTACATTAAAATATTGGTAGTAATATGCAAAAATAAATCAAAACCTTAGTGATGTGAAAACTATCAGACTTGCTGGTTGAATCTTAGCAGGTTCTGACCAAATATTTGTTACAGCTAAATAATAACCATTATTGCACCCAAGGATGGAATCACTTTGAGCAGTTGGTTTTCTTCTCCCTACATGGAGATATTTTTTATACCCGAAGTGATTTAATTGCAGCATTCATTTTCCCCACTTTCTGTGATTTAATGGTATGTAGTCTTGTGCTAACCCTTAAAAAAAGGCAACTGTTGGTTGTTAATGTAAGAGATATTTTTGTCCTGAAACCTCTCGCTTACAATGTAAGTATACAAAAAGTAGTGTCTTAATTACTTTATCAAAGATCCCCTGTTTTTCCATGTTATATTTAAACAGATCTATGCAAAAGAATCAATTGATGGATGAAATAAATGGTAAGAGATAACAATGAGGATCTGTTCTATTTATCATCCAAAGTTCTGGAGAAAAATGTATAGTTCTCATATTTTTGAGAGGAGAGACATAATGACTGTCCTAGTACCATTTTCAGAGTCTGGTTCTTGGAATTTTTATTGTGTCGACTGTTCAAGACACTATGTACAGTACTGTATTATGGATTAGATTTGAACATGGTTATACATATGATTCTCAGTTCTATTAAATTTGGATCCATGCCTGTTTTAATGGCATTCATTATTTTTATTCTCTTTTATTAGACAGATTAAAAAAACATGGACAAAAACAAGCTTTGCTATTTTTAATACAGATTGTATATTGCTCTGAGAAGCTCACTAGTCATTAGGATTGTTGCTAATATAGGTAACATTAAAAACAACAAAAAATATAAGTTTAGAGGTTTCCAAACCATAAGATCTTTGGATTTGTTTGTTATAACGACTACCTAAAAAACTGTTATTTCCTGCAAAACCCGGAAAGAGGTCAAGTCAACTGATGTCTAAGAACACATGTTGAATAAGTTGTGATGTAAACTCAAATTATTCTATTAATATATTGTATTAATTTAGATAGGACTTGGTCTTGGATTAAAATTGCAAAGTTACAGCCGATGAAGAATCTCAAATGGCCACATAAAGCAATAGATGATAGAGACACTGGCAAACAGACACAAGGTATGCTACCTATCACAATATTATTTCTCATAGATAAGTCTCTCCCTCCCTCTCTCTCTCTCTCTCTCTGTGTGTGTGTGTGTGTGTGTGAGAGAGAGAGAGAGAGAGAGAGAGAGAGAGAGAGATTCATGTTTATTGCAACATATCCACAAAAGTTTCTGGATTTCTTAAGAAAACATAAGACCATATAAAAAGTTTAAAATGATTTACATCTGTATACGAAAGTATAGGCAACCCTGATCAAATTGAATATTTGAATAAATGTATAGATGACCAGAAGCTAATTCATCTTCTGCATGGTGCAAACGTTAAAACAAAATTAATAAAACCTTACAGCATCCTGCAGACCCATGTGCTGTCACCTAAAATTTTGGGCAAGAAATTATATTTTACCTTGGCATATCTATGAATAAAGCAGGCTTATCACTCCACATCTTTGCAAATTCTTTCTGGAACACTACTTGCTTTCATAGATAAATACAAATTATGGACATGAAATTAGAATGGTAAGGTCTTATCCTAAATTCCATAGGTTTTTTTTTATCCTGAACATATAATTGTTGCGTCCTTGGCGGGAAAACAGACACGAGAAACAGCTGGAGTTCTCAGGTTCTTTTATTCAGCGTTCAGCTTACAGGAAGATGGCTTCAGCTCAGCCCAAACGCCTCACAGCCTCTTATATAGGCAACTCCCGGGTAAATGGGTTACTTTTCCCGCGCCAGCACCCGCGCATGCGCACGGCGCTGGCGACAGCCTGTCTGGTCCCGGGCAGCTTTGCACCTGCCCGGGACTGCCTGCAACGCCCGAGCCGTTTGCAAGGCTCGGGACATAACACCCCTTTCCCCCGGGCTAAAACTACTATCAACATACAACATTTATTTTACACGACAATTTGCTCCCCAGTGTTCCCCCTGTTTACTGGCTTTTGTCTTGCCAACAATGTTATGTAATCTTCTAGGTACTTAGGAGATTTCTTTGCTCTCTGTGACCTTCTTAGCTCTGGGTTACTGGCATAAGTCCCCTGACTGGAGGGAGGCGTGAGCCTGTTCTCTCTACTGTGCCCTGGTGTCTTCCAAGGACTGTGCCCCGATGCCTGGCCTGCTTGCTTGCCCACCGGGCTCGTCAGGCCAGGGCGTCTGTTGCTTTGTGACCTGGTTGTCCTACCTAGCTGTAGCCCCTCAGGCCCCTTGAAGTGATAGCCACTGCTGGGCGTCTCTGTAGAACCCCCTAGGTCAGTCAAAGACCTGTCAGGAGGCTGTCTATTCCCTGAACCCCATTCTGTGTTTGGGCTCGTGTGGGTTTCTGTACTCTCCCAAAACTCAGGTGTCCCCTGATTTGTGCTAGGGGTGTTGTAGTCGGGACTTGGGTCCTCGACTAGCTCTGTGTATGTTTGACCCCCTGTAGGATTTGGGGTAAGGTCAGGCCAACCTTGGGCATTGTGTGCCAGCTCTCTTGCGGGGAATGATTTGTTGGGATGCCCCCGGTTATCCTCCGTTGCTGGAGTGCTGTGTGCTGTGTGTGGAAAGTGAGTATGCCCCCGGGGTAACTCCCTGGCTGGAGTAGGCGTGAGTGCCTGTTGTGTGGGTAAGCTCCAAGACTTCCTTTTCGGAGCAATTGCAGAATCTTGGGACGAGCCGTTTGTGGCTCCCTCAGTGGCGATGGGCAGTAGCTCTTGCCCTTCCCTTTGCTCCAAAGGGTCCCCCTCCCCCCCTGGAAAAGACCCAGGAGTTTCAGCAGAAAAGTCCCGCCTAGAGCGGAGTTGGTCGATGTGCCGACGCAGGACACGACCGTTGTCCAGGGCAACCTCGTAGGAGAGAGGACCTGTGATCCTGGACACAGAAGCGGGGACCCATGTATGACCAGGCCCGTAATTGCGAGCCCAAACCGGGGCACCCACAAGTAGTCGTCTAGGTGCCCTAGGAGGTGAGGTAGATGAAGGCAGTCTGTCCGGATGCAACCGGTCAAGTCTCGTAGTAAGTTGGCGCCCCCACCGAAGTTCAGCTGGACTTCTCCCTGTAGAAGTGGACGGTGTGGTGCGATAAGAAAGGAGAAAGTCAGCCAACCTGTGATGCCAGTCCCCGTAGGTGAGTCACTTCAAGGCGTCCTTTGCGATGCGCACCATGCGTTCAGCCATACCGTTGGTGGATGGGTGAAAAGGCGCAGATGTGGCATGACGAATCAGGTTTGCCTGTAATAAAGCTTGGAATTCGGAGGAGGTGAATTGAGGGCCGTTGTCAGACACAATGACATCTGGCAGCCCGTGTGCAGCAAAAATCCCCCTCAGTACCTGAATAGTCTTTGCAGTGGTGGTGGACGAGACAGGCACAACCTCAAGCCATTTTGAATGGCTGTCAACAAGGACAAAGAAGAACTGGCCCTGAAAGGGCCCAGCGTAGTCAATGTGCACCCTAGACCATGGGGACTGTGTTTCCTCCCATTTATGCACAGGAGCTTGGGGCATCTCTGGGCGAGATCGTTGGCACATGTGGCATGCGTGTACCTTAGCCTCAATATCTTTATCTAAAGCAGTCCACCACAAGTGGCTGCGTGCAAGAGCCTTCATGCGAACAATGCCAGGATGACCCTCGTGGAGGGATTCTAAGACCCTAGTCCTCATTGAGGTGGGAATGACAACTCTGTTTCCCCAAAGCAAACAACACTGAGAAAGGGACAATTCGTTCCTTTTGGACCAGAAACTCTGAAACTCAGGACTATGGCAGTGCTCAGGCCACCCGGACAGGACCCAGGAGCGACGCTTGAAAGTGTGTGATCTGTACCTGTTTCAGCGTTAACATCCCTTGCACTAAGAGGAAGCTCGGGCAAGGCTTGGATTGATAGAATGTTGACAGCTGGCGCGGGGTCAGCTTCTACTACTGGCAGAGGCAACCTACTGAGGCCATCAGCATGGCCCATTTCTTTCCCAGGCTTGTGGATTAATGAAAAATCATATGCAGACAAAAAATTAGACCACCTAAGCATTCTAGGGGAAATGATGTGGGGAGTCTGCTTACGTGTGGTAAACAGTCCCAGCATAGGCTTATGGTCAGTGAAGACCGTGAAATGCCTGCCATATAGAAAATCGTGGAATTTTTTAATTCCAGCAACAACAGCCAGAGCCTCCCTGTCTATCTGAGCGTAGTTGCGCTCGGCAGAAGACAATGTTCTGGAGTAGTATGCAATAGGAACCTGAGTTCCATCAGACCTGAGGTGACTCAGGACAGCTCCGACCCCGTAGGGGGATGCATCACACGCGATGCACACAGGGAGAGACTCGTTGAAATGTGCAAGAACACTGTTAGAAGTGAGCAAGGCCTTGACTTCTTTAAAGCAAGCCTCATGTTCTTGTGACCACAGCCACACAGCTTGTTTGTCTAGTAGCCTGTGAAGAGGCTCAGCTACACTAGCTTTATGTGGAAGAAAAGAATTGTAGAAATTCAGGAGGCCTAAGAAGGCCTGAAGTTCGGCCTTAGACTTTGGCCTGGGTGCTTCTAAAATAGCAGTTAGTTTGGATTCAGCAGGATGAATCCCAGCAGCATCAATTTTGAATCCCAGAAATTCAGTAGAAGGCACCCCAATCTTGCATTTGTCTTTTCTGAGCTTGAGGCCTGATTTCCTGAATCTTAACAGGACAGCCCTAAGCCTTTCAGCTAGAATGTGTTTGGAGTCTCCTGCAATCAAGACATCGTCAAAGTAGGGGCAGACCCCTGGTATACCTCGTAGTGTGTTTTCCATTACGCTTTGGAAAATCCCAGGAGCGACATTCACTCCAAACTGTAGCCTTTTTACCTTAAAGGCTCCCCTGTGGGTCACAATGGTCTGAGCTATGGCAGCATCATCATCAACAGGCAGCTGTTGATATGCTTGAGCTAGGTCAAGCTTTGCAAAAACACGCCCCCCCTTGAGAGAGGCCAGGATGTGACTGACCACAGGAACAGGATAGGCATGTTGCTGCAATGCCTTATTGAGTGTGCATTTGTAATCAGCACAAATGCGAATGTCCCCATTTGCCTTTAGAGGCGTGACAATGGGGGTCTCCCATGGGCTGGAATCAACAGGTTCTAGGATTCCTTGTTGGATTAGTTTGTCTAAATCAGTGTCAATCTTACTTTTTAAAGCAAAAGGGACCCTTCTTGCTTTAATCCTAATGGGAGTGACAGTGGGGTCTAGCTTTAAGGACACAGGTGGTCCTTTGAATGTGCCCAGCTGGGGGCTGAAAACATCTGCAAATTCCTTGCAGACTTCCTGTAGGTCGAGTGTTTGTAAGCTGTTGAGTCCTGTGACGTGTATCCCCAGGGCCTCAAACCAATCGAGTCCTATGAGACTCGTTCTTTCACCCCCTACTACTAACAAGTCTAGTGGACCTTCAAAACTCTTGTATTGCACGTTAAGGGTGGCCTCCCCCTTAACACACACTCTTGAGTTCTGAAAATCAGTTAATACAATATCAGAAGGCCTTAACTTGGCCTTAGTCCCACTACTGGAACAAATCTTCCTAAATGTATGCAATGAAATGATGGAAAGGGCAGACCCTGTGTCTAGTTCCATAGATAATGGAACCCCTTGTAGCTTCACGTTGAGTGACAGCTTTTTCTTCATGGGCTTGTGTGTGCCTGTCCTACAGATGTTTCTACGCGAAGCGCAAAAACCTACCCTATTCTGGCTGGGGACTCTGGTACCCTTCAGGCGTTCTTCTTGAGGTTGTGCCTTTCGTCGGCCCAGACACACAGCTGCAATGTGCCCTAGTTTGCCGCATGCCCGGCAGGTAGCGGAGCGGAACTTGCAGTCGGTTCTCCTGTGGCGACCTCCACAGCCGATGCACTTGAGCGGAGCTGAAGAGCTTTCCTTCTGATTTTCTCCCTTCGCGGGGTGTAGACGGTCGACTTCTTCGTCCGGATCCTCCTCGGAGTTTCGTCGGACGTCTTCTTGGTGCACGGACGCACCCTCTGCACTGCTTCTGATCGGCCGCATGTTCTTGACGGCGCCGCCTGCTGCTTCTTCCGCGGTGGCTTCCCTTAAAGCGTCTTGGAAGGATAATTCTTCCTTAGCGAAAAGTCTCTGTTGTAGCTCTCGATGCCTCAACCCGCACACGAATCGGTCCCTCAGTCGTTCCTCGAGGTCCTTGAACTCGCAGGGCTTGGCGGCCTTCCGTAACGCGGCGATGTATTCCTTGACTGACTCACCGGACCGTTGATCCCTCTGCTCGAAGGTGTGGCGCCATGAGATAACGGACACCTTGGGGTGAAAGTGGTCCTTCAGCAGCTTCTTCAGGTCTGCGTAGCTTACAGACTCTACTGGAACAGGTGCTGCAAGGTTTTCTGCGATTTCGAAGGCGTCTTGGCCGCAAGCGCAAAGCAGGGTGGCAGCCTTCAAGCTATCTTCCCTCACTTGGTTTGCCTTGAAGTAGTTCTCCATTCTGGATACGTAGGACTCCCACCGCTCTGGATGTGAGACGTCGAATTCCGCAAGCCTTCCGATTTTCGCCATCTTCGGATCTTCAGGAGACGGGTCTATCAGCCAGCCTACCCCCGAATGCGCACTGGATTGGCGGGCAGCTGCTGAGTCAACACCGTTCCTCTTCCGCCGCTCAGGACTCCTTGGGTAAGCTTACACTTTTTCCTTTCCAGGTAGTGCAAGGCCTCCCACCTTCGTCGCCAGTGTTGAGTCCGTGGCGGGAAAACAGACACGAGAAGCAGCTGGAGTTCTCAGTTTCTTTTATTCAGCGTTCAGCTTACAGGAAGATGGCTTCAGCCTCGCCCAAACGCCTCGCAGCCTCTTATATAGGCAACTCCCGGGTAAAATGGGTTACTTTTCCCGCGCCAGCACCCGCGCATGCGCACGGCGCTGGCGACAGCCTGTCTGGTCCCGGGCAGCTTTGCACCTGCCCGGGACTGCCTGCAAACGCCCGAGCCGTTTGCAAAGGCTCGGGACATAACAGGTTCCTTGTCCTTAACCTGGTCCTTCAGATCTTCCAACAATGCATCCATTGCTACCATAACTGACTTCATCCACCTTGCTGCTGGTCATCCTCTGTTTCTTTCTATCTTCCCCAGCATTATAGACAGTGGTGTGGGATAAACATTTAAAAATCAGTCTGCTGGCTCCATTGCCACTGCTGCGTGGCGCTGCTAACTGCAGAACAGCTGATCAATATGCCAGGTAGAGCTGCTCACCTTTGCTCTCACCCAGCTTGCAACATTCTGGAAAAATTAATCTTTGGCTCTCTTTAGAGAGGCCTCCTTTCTTTTGAAGTCAGACTGAGCAGCTTCCAAATTGAGATGACTGTCACAAACCCTACTAAATATCCAATTACGATCAAATATTAATCCTCTGACAAGAGAAACTTGTCAGTGCTGTTAGCTAATAATTATATCACTGGGATGCAAAAAAAAAAAAGGTTTTGATTTTGAAATGTTATGAGTTTGAAATGTATCATTTCATTTTCTAAACATCTGTTCCCACCTGATTAAAAGCATTCCAAAATTATTCCAAGTATTCTGGAAATGTTCCAAGTTTGAAACAGCCTAGTTTGAGTGCAAAGCATTTGTTTTAAAGCATATGACTCTTTCAACGTAAGTACATTTCTACAGCGGTCATATCAATGGGAGGGCAAAGTTGGAACAACCCATCCTATTAGCTTATTCCAAATATGAAAAATTCAGAAAAAATTAGTTTGGGAGAGCAAGACATTACATTTTTTTTATGCCTTATCCCTACATGGCACAGGACCAAATTATCTGTGGGATCACCTCTCTTTGAGGGTATCTGCCCATCCCATCAAAGAACATAGGATAGGCATGCTCCAGGGCCCTTCCCTTAAATACTATCATCTTGTGAGTTCTCAGTAGTGTATCTTTTCCATTGCAGCCCCTACCCTAAGAAATACTCTCCCCACAGAGATAGAGAGGCCCCTCCCCTTTCATTTTTTTGGGGGAGAGAACTGACTCTTTCCCTAAGTGCTGGGATAGGGGGAAGTCAGAGCAAGATGAGAATTGTGGGTTTCATGCCCATGTTTTCTTCTGTTTTTTTTTTAATTTTATCAATTTTCTTTGTTTTATAATAGTTATTTATTGTTTTATGGCAGTGGTTCTCAACCTGTGGGTCGGGACCCCATTTGGGGTCGAACGACCATTTCATGGGGGTCGCCAAACAACGCAGTCTGCCGTTTTTCCCCCTTTTCCTTAGCTGTGCTATTCCCTTTTATTCTGTTGGCTTTTGAAAGCCAATAGAATAGACTCTCTTGAATAGAGTCTAATTCTATTGGCTTTCAAAAGCCAATAGAAATTGTCCAGGCTGTCTCTGCCCTGCTGAGCCCGCCCAAAGTCCCATTCTGCAAACGGTGCTGCACCAGTTGAGTAGTCCTCGACTTACGATCGGTTGAGTAGTCCTCGACTTACGACCGGTTGGGGGTCGCAGCATTAAAAAGGTTGAGAACCACTGTTTTATGGATTATAAGCTGCCCAGAATTGGTTTTAAGATGGATGCATACATAAATGTTTTAAATAAATATTTATTTATTTATTTATTTAATATATCGTGTGTGGACTGAAAACCTGAAAAGCCAATAGGGAACAGGGAAAAATTTCAAACATCACCTCTAATGCCCATGCTAACCTTAGTTTATATACAGGTAATCTCCAACTTATGATCTCAGTTGGGCCCAGAAATCTCATCACTAAGTGATGTGGTTGTTAACTGAGCCGTGCCTGATTTTAAAATCTTTTTGCCCTGCCTATTAAGCAAATCATCACATCTGTTAAGTGAATCACATCATCATTAACCAAATCCAGTTTCCTCCATGATCATTGCTTGTCAGAAATAGGCTGGGAAGGTCATAATCAGCCGTCACATGGCTCTAGTATACTGCAACCAGTGTAAATACGCTTGCCAGCTGCCAAGCGACCGTATTTTGATTACGTGACCCTGAAAGAATTGTAAGTATGAAGATTGGGCATATGTCACTTTTTTTTTTTAGCACCATCATAACGTCAAACGATCCAAATGATTGCAAGTCAAGGAATATCTGTATTCTCTCCTTGCCTGTTTTATATATCGTAAATGCCGGCGTACAAGGCGACCCGGCGTATAAGACGACCCCAGTCTTTATAGCCGGGCCGCATTCCTAGAACGTCGTCTTATATGCCGGAAACTACCAGTATTTCCGGTGTATAAGACGACTCGGCGTATAAGACGATCCCTGTCTTTGGCGCCGATTTCAGCGCTCGCGGAAGTCGCCTTATACGCCGGCATTTACGGTATATAAAACAGGCTTTGAAGCACGAAGCTGAAAACACCAGCCTGAAGATGACGAATGGGACTTCGTCGAAACGTCGCCAAGACACTTCCAATTTTACGTGGGAGAAAACCTGAATAACCAAAGACACACACACACACACACACACACACACACACACACACACACACACACATATATATATATATATATATATATATATATATATATATATATATGTCTTTGGTTATTTGGGTTTTCTCCCGCGTAAAATTGGAAGTGTCTTGGCGACGTTTCGACGAAGTTCCATTCGTCATCTTCAGGCTGGTGTTTTCGGCTTTGTGCTTCTAGGAGCAATGTGTGATCGTAGCTGTTTCTTCCTTTTAACTGCCAGTGGAGGTATGAACTGATTGGATGGGAGCTTGGCTGTGTTCTGATTGGGTGGCGGTGTGTTCTGATTGGTTAGGGGCTTGACTGTGCTCTGATTGGATGGGGGGTTGGCTGTGCTCTATTGGATGGGGGAGTGTTCTGTTTGGATGGGGGCTTTGTTGTGCTAGGGTTAGTCTTAGTTGCAGGGGGATGTAAGATGGTGAGCTGCGTTGCTCTTGTTTGGCTTCGCGTTCGTGGTCATGGTGGGTGTCAGTTTGCTTCATGTATGGATTGGAGGGATTTAATATTTAAATATATTGATTTAATATATTTATTGGTTTAATATATATATTGCCTAATACCCTTTATTATGTTTATTGCAGAATTAAAAGAAGAAATGCATTTTATTAAATCGTTTGTTTCTGGAGCTGGATACCAGACTGAGTTAAGTGCCATAGATAAGGACAGTGAATTGCCAGACAAGGCTGAAATGGCGGTTCTGTTCTGCATCATGCATAGAAAAACTGCACTTAGTCTTAAGGTATAGTCCCCAAGTGTACTCTCTTGAAAATGTATTTTCTATACTAGTTTTATGATTTGGAAATAATTGGAATCATAATCACTTTCTTTTTCAGAAACGACTAGGTCATGTCTAGAATTGCTGGTTTAGAAGAAACATAGAAAAGATTTTGCATATGGCTAATAAATAAATACTCTATTTTGTAAGGCCATATGTTAATTTTTATACAATATAATCCTATTACCCTTTCTCTGCCCATTTTCACAAGACACAAAGTAATGTTTTCTGATGAAATTTCCATTTATCATCTCAAAAATCTTCATGGAAAGTTAGGCTGCACAGAATCACCCTCTGATCTTAACAGATGAGCAAAGATTGAACTTTGGACTCTCTCATTAAAAAATCAACACTGTCATGTATAACACAACGGCTTTATTTACATAACACAATAAGCCATAGTAAAGATGATTATCTATCTATCTATCTATCTATCTATCTATCTATCTATCTATCTATCTATCTATCTATCATAGAGTGGAATGGAATGAAATAGAATAGAATAGAATAGAATAGAATAGAATAGAATAGAATAGAATAGAATAGAATAGAATAGAATAGAATAGTTATTGGCTAAGCACACAAGTAATTTGTCTCCAGTGCATAAGCTCACAGTATGCATATAAACAGCAAGTAATGTCACAGGTCATAATAATCACTAATCATAAATTACAAACAATTGATAAATCATAAGAAATCAATAGGAGAAGATAGTAGGAAAGATCAGAAGATGAGAAAAGATGAGAAATGAGACAGAGCTGTGGAAATTAAGTGTTCATCCAAGTGACTGCATGGGGGAAAATATCACCTATCTATTATAAAGAGTTGACAGTCATAGATGCTATTATCTACTTCCTTCTTGTCATCTTTGGCTTGTTAACCAGATGTGGAGGCTTGCTGAGATATAATGTGTAGTTTCCAGTCCCTAACGGATTTGGATTTGTGGAAACCAGAATTTAAAACCAAGGTTTATTGTGGTTTCCTATTCTGGCTTCTACAGTTCCAAAATAGTCTCCATCTAGTTCAGAAGAAGGACTAAGCCTCAAGCAAACATCTGGCAGGTTTTGTGGGAGATAACTTATAATACATATACATTTTACAGGTTTTCCTCACTTAATGACCACAATTGATCCTGCAATTTTGGTTGAGAGTTGTTGCAGTCAATTCACAACCATTTTTTACAATAGTCATAAAGCAAGTCACTGTGGTTGTTAAGTAAATCACATTGGTGTTAAAAAACACACATGGTTATTAAGTAAATCCATTCTCCCAAATGGGCATTTCTTTGTTGGAAAGTGACAAAAAAAATCACCAGAAACTGGCAAAAAATGTTGCAAATTGCAGTCACAGGACCACAGGATATTGCAGTGTGGTCACATGAAGAAGGGGTGTGTGCGGCAGGCAACCATTTTTTTCCCCTTCAAATCACAATTCATTGAACAAATCATAGGGCCCGATTTATATATAGCATAAAACCATAATGGTAGGGGGACCGTATCTGGTCTGCAAAAACCCAGGCGATCGTTACATGGCAGGAGAGAGGTACGCAAAATTTGTATTTTTATAAGTAATAGATGAGTTCGCATATTAGATTTGTATCCCTTTCTTTTTCTCAAACATGCACGCCACTCATACTCCTATTATTATTAGTGTCTGGTTCATTAATTTTAGGAGTGAAAGGAAATGATGAAATAATTTTTCTCCAATAATTTTTATTGTTTTAATATTTATTGTTTCTAAACATTTTATTGTTTAGAATATTATAATATCAATGGGCTGTTAAACAAAAGAGGGGTGGGAGGTGATTATAATTCTAGATCTCCCATATATTTAGCTTTAGTACAAAGCAAGTTTGATGTAGTGGTTAAGGTACCAGATTAGAAACTGGGTCACTGTGAGTTCCAGGCCCACCTTAGACACAGAAACAAGCTGAGTGACCTTGAGCCAGTCACTCTTTTTCAGCCCTAGGAAGAAAACAATGGCAAACCACTTCTAAAATCTTGCCAAGAAGTTACTAGGAGTCAAGACTGACTCAAAGAAACACACACTCAAAATTCATTGGGACTGGTAACCAGCAAATTCCCTGAAACTCCATCATCTAGTTTAAGAAACAGTTTCTGTTGATGCATCTTTATATGGATATGTTCAAATCTTGAAGTCTAAACTCTGACAAATCCCTATTCGTTTTAAAATAAACATTAATTTGATTTTTTTTTTTTGCTTGATAATTTTTAGGCACATTTTCTCTCTCAGGTTCCTGACCTCTCGCCTTTGTCTGATTTTTTGTTGTACCTAAACTTGTCATATAATAGTTTGGATTGCTTTCCATCAGAGGTAAGTGTAATATGTGCTTTTTAAAAATGTATATTAGATAAGCTTTTGTTGTATAACCCATAAACATAACTGTGACCTTACATAAAGACCCACAGCCCTTGTGATATATTCCTCACTGATTTGCTAGATGTTTAGAAATTACTATTCTTTGGTTTGAATTGATCATAACCACACGTTGAAAAATTATTTCATATATTTTTTTATGTGAGCTTTCCTCTATGAGCATAAATGGTATATATATATGGAATTTCCCCCTCATTTTATTTTCTCACTCTGTGAGATAGATGGAGCTGTCAATGATATTACTTCAGAGTGAGTGTGCACCGTGGTTTTTATGTACTGGGGATTCAGGCATCACACGAAGGCACATTGTGAACAACAAGCTTTTTTATTGATCTTCTCCTTACTACCAGCAAAACAGCAAAAGGCACGCAGGCCTTTTATAGCGTCCTGAACCCAGACAACAACAACCAATAGGAATCTGGCTATTTTGCACTTTGCGCATGCGCACAAGGCTGGCGCCTGTTAGTCTGGTCCCAGGCAGCTTTTGGTTTGCCTGGGACCATTTGCAAAATTTCTGAGCCTGCTGAAGGACACAACAGTGGTGATGTAAGATTTGAACTTGGGTATTTCCAGTTCCACTCTAATGTCTTTACTGCTGCATCTTCTTAGCTCTCTGATAAAGCATAACTATGTACAAGTGTAGCTTTCCCAACCTGGTCGCCTCCAGCCATGTCGGGTGGCTGAGGAAAGGTCATTGAGCGCAAGCCATCTTGTGCCCTGAGCAGAAACAAGAACTACAAAACCTCTAAGGTCCTTTTCAATGTTGTGCTTCCATATTGTTTCCTCATACAGAAACTGTATGTCCTCAGAGGCCTAGCGATGCAAGGGAAAGAGAATGGCCTTTGCTTTCCTAGTATGTGGGTGACAAGGTAAAGAAGCAGAGGAATCTACCAGTAAGGAGCTGTGGACTAGTAGACCATATCCAGATTCCAGACCAAGTGCCAAAGATTAAAATCCAGAGAATAATTTCTAGCACTAACTTTATTGCACAGGAGACAAACAACTTAAGCTCGTCATGCAGTCTTTTCGGCCTATGCTTTTAGGACTGTCTGGGTTCAAATCTTTTCTCCTTCTGCATAGTATTCTGACATATATGCTTTTCAAAATATACTGCCTGATAGTCTTCCTTAGCTACACTTAGCTGTTCTCCCTGACACCTATATTTCTACTCCACACATATTTCATAACTTTCCAACAGTATGTGCTTCTCACAGGGGTTTTTTTTCATATAATTTCCATGTCTTTTTGTTGTCAGAAATCTGTATCCAATGGCTTCCTTTTTCTTAGATCCAGTTTTGGTCCAAGACACTTCACTGTTTGAAGTGGCAAAAGGCCCAGGGCATTCAACTGTATGTGGGGAACCTGAAGTCCAGAGCTGCATAAACAAACTCTAGATACTTTCAAACATTGTTATATTTTAATTTGACTGAAGAACTACTTTTAAATGTAAATGAAACAAAACTTATAAAACCGTTTTGGTCCCATCCTTTAATTTGGGGAATGTAGTCTTAAGCATGGCCCTCAGCTCAGAGAAAGTTGTATGCCTGCCATCTGTAGCATATAGTGAATTTATGGAGCATATTAAGGGCTGATCCTCCCTAAAACAGTGTTTTAAATAACCAATTCTTTACATTTGAATGCCAGCTCCATTCTATCCCCACTGCCTCTAAGACAGATTTCAATCCAGTCACCATCATCATTGATTGGGGAACCTTGGGCAATATCCAGAAAAGCTGGAAGGGAAGAGGTTGAGAAAAAAATGATCTATTTCTTTGATTCATAATTATCCTTGCTCAGGATTTCTTATCTGTGCTATCCAAACTTTTCATCACCTGTCAATTCTTTCCATGATTACTCTTAAGGTATACATCAATAACTTTGCCACCTACTCTGTTGAGTAGCTCACTATCTTTGCCTTGGCTTTATTTTCAGTTTATTCCTTTTCTGCTCTGCCTTTTCCATTGTTGCCAAGACATGTAATTTTATCATGTACAACATTCTGAAAACCCACTCTTTCCATTATATCCTATCAGCTAAATCTTGGTCTCATAATCTCCCATCATGATTATTGCCATATTCCTATCTGCCTTATGAACCTCTATAACACGGGTGTCAAACTTGCCACATCATGTGACGTGTTGCGACATATCACGACTTTTTTTGCAATGTTGGATCGCAGTCTCCATATGCTGCAACCAGCCTGCGGGCCGGCTGTTTGACACCCCTGCTCTATTAGGAAACGAAAGGAAAATAACAGTTATGTTATTCCTCACTATGCAGTCCTTTTGATGTTATGCTGGTATGCAAGTTCATTTACCGTATTTTTCCGTCTATAAGATGCACCCTTGTATAAGACGACCCCCAATTTTCTAAACAAAAATTCAGAAACCAACATTTTAAATATTAAACAAACCACATCTTTAGTGGCAGTAAAACAAGTGGCCATGCCATCACACAAGGGAGGCGACTTCCTCCAATCAGATGGCGCTCTGAAGGCTTAGTCCCGCCCATTCCCTTGGTCGTCAATCATTGTACTGAGGTGGCTTCCTGGGGCCTCTTGCGGGACCGGTGAAAAACAGGTCATAGAAGGCAGCTTCAGTGGGACTGGTGGCATCCTTGGGGCAGCGCGATCCTCCAGCACCAGGCGGCATCTCAGGCTGGCTTTCTCCCCATCCAGGCAGCATCTCGGGCCAGCAATATCCTCCTGCACCAGGTGGCATGGCAGCGGCATGTAAAGAACCCACACAGGCTTGCCCTGGGCTGTGGAGGTTGCCATTATTTTTTCGTGTATAAGACGCACCTGATTTTTGAACAGGGTGTTTGCAGGAAAAAATAGTGTCTTATACACAGAAAAATACAGTATGTGAATAACACTGACATTAGGCCACCAATGTGGTTATTGCCATCGAGTCAGCAGACTCAAGGAAACAAAAATAAGAGTGATTGATTTTCTGATTTGTCTGTGTTCATATAACAAGGTAGCCCATTTATTAATTAATCCTATTGCCTGTAGAGCTAGCCAAATTGCTGTATGAGCTTGGCCCTGGTTTGAGAAGGGAGAGTAATTGGAGCCAGAGTTCAAATAGTTCTGGTTAATTATTACTAAGAAATATATTTCCTGGGATGTATTACATTCAGGGTTTTGCACAGAAAAGTAGATGTTTTTTCTCAGTGTTTTTTTTGTAAAAAAAAAAAAAAGGTACCAGAACTCACACATGTCATACAACCCGCCTTGCCTACCCTACAATATTCCATCCAAAAAAGGTGCTGGAACTCCGTTCTGGGCGTTCTATGACAAAAAAAGCCCTGGTTTTTCTAACCATGCTGTGGGAGACAGTAAAATATTTGTCGGGGTCATCCTCTCCTTGTCCAACAACAGTAGAAACATAATCTGGCAACTTATTTTTTATAACATGAGCTCATGATGTAGCCTTCAGTTCAGCCCCAACCCTTAAGTGATCTATCTATCTATCTATCTATCTATCTATCTATCTATCTATCTATCTATCTATCTATCTATCTATCTATCTAGCTAGCTAGCTAGCTAGCTAGCTAGCTATCTATCTATCTAGCTAGCTAGCTCTCTCTCTCTCTCTCTCTCTCTCTGCATGATGGCCATAGACCAAAGAGATATCAGAATCAGCAAAATATATGCAATCATTGAAAGGAAGGGAGAAAGACATGAAACTAGCTGACTTTCATAGCTGATGCATTTTTGGAGGTCTACAGTACAGGTGTAACTGAGTCCAGTCCAAGAGAAGTTAGTGGAAATAGTCATGGTGGACAAACTCCTATAGATAGACAAATAGAAGAAGGGACAATCTACCAATCCTTTGCTGCATTAAAATTGCAAGAAGAGCTCTAATTGCTGCCCTTCTTATCATAATTCTCTGTCAGTTCAAGGCCTGTTGAATAGAGCTTTAACACAGCCATCTAGCTGTCCCTGTAGTTAATGACAACATCAAGAAGAGGTGAAATCTGACTCAGTTGAAGAACAGTGTTCCCCCCACCTAACCATTGCCTTGCAATGAAGTTTCTTGGAAATAAGCCTCTATCTATGAAAAAAACATCAGGAGGAAGAGAAAAGTAGTGTAATCATAGTCTTAAATTCAAGTGCTGGAAGGTAAAATGAAAACAAGGATTCCCATCAATGACAAAACCAGACTTCCCAACAATTTTTTTAAAATACTGCCTTTGCAGCAGTTTCTAACCCATTACACACAATTTGTCTTTTACAGGTGTTTCATCTTAAATATTTACAAGTGCTAAAGCTCCGAAATAACCCCATCAAATCCATCCCAGGGGAGATCTCTGATATGAGGAATCTTAAATTCTTGACGATGTCCTTCAACTTGCTGACTTCTCTCCCACTTGAGTGTGTAGTAATTTTAATTAATAGAGTTATATGGAAGAGAAGCTTTCAAGTCATGGGGGGAAAGGGGGGGCAAGGAGGCACAGGCTTCTTGTAAGTTATTGTATCATCAATCAATTAAAAAAAAGCCTAGCTGCTTTGACTAGGGTTCATCACCACAGCTTCGACTTAAGCCTGTCTATCTCATGGGATGCAGATGAAGCTGGCAGAATTGGGTTCTGGCAGAAAAAGGAAATTATATTTGTACAATTGGAGCAAGACCTGAAGCATAGAGCCTCAGTTCCATTAAAAACTTAAGCCCTAATAGAAGTTGTTTTCTTAGTTTTCAATACATCAATATAAAGGCTGTAAATTTACTTTTAAAAAAAGGCATTTTAGAAATCCATAGAAAGGTAAGATTTTCAATTCTTGACTTTAGAGAAAGTATGCTGAGGTGGAAAGATGGATCTTATATCCCATCTCTACTTGCTGCAAATATTCTTTGGCCAGAACAGGAATGAATTCCAGAATAAAGCAACAGGCTGGGTGAGGCAAGCTGACTATAGTACATTTTTGCTTTATAAACAGTTAGGAACCTTATGATAGCTTCAAAAAAAGACCTGGGTGATGACATGATATGGCCCACAAATGTTTATTCAATGTAGAGACCATGTGACTTAGCGACTCTGGGCATCTAATTGTACAATGAAAAGAAAAAAACCACGCCCCAATAAATACATCTATTCACACAAGAGGTATCATTAGCAGGGGGAAGCTCAATATCAGAATAACCAAACTGTGTTTAAGGGGCTACAGGATTGAAAAGATTTTTCCTCTGGCAAACTGCTTTTCAAAGATTACTAGTGACAGGAAAGCTTTCTGTTTTTATAGGCTGTTTATCCTGCCAAATCTTCAGAGTCTTGACGTTTCCTACAATGAACTCGAATATATCCCTAATGAAATACAAAATCTCAGGTAATGTATTGATTTTCCTGTTTTGACAAGAGGAGGGTTTTTCTCGTTTTCCAGATTTTGCTGGGGTATTTCCAGCAGGCCCAACCAGCACAGGTGATAGTTGGACAAGCTGAGATCTGTAATTTGGCAACTATGACATGTAAGTATTTCCCCCATTTTATAAGTAAGATCCATTGGTTTTCTTGAATTGCCTTAAATGTGGGAAGCCTACTAACTGGAGCTTTTCTCTCCCTATATGTCCTCTCAAAAAAGACTAATACTGTGCCAAAGGGACACAGGACTCTGCTTAGGGTTAATGATACTATTTTGAGCTATTTATGACTATAGTGTCCCTGGGACCATGTTACTTTTTCCACAGGCTGCTGTTAAAATAGAGCATTCTGGTAGATTAAGAAAAGCATTCACTGACGCTGAGGCTTTTTTTTTAATTTGACAAAATGTTCTATTTTTAACAGAAACTCTGTTAAACTCTCTCATAATTCACTTAAGAATTAAAGTAGTGTATTTCAGACTTGATAACTTTAAAATGTCTGAACTTCAACTCCCAGCATTCCCCGGCCAGCACACTGACTGAGGAATTCTGGAAGCCGAAAACCATATGTCTCAAAGTTGCCAAGCCTGAAAAAAAAACTGAATTAAAGGAGGCAAAAAGGGTTGGCAAACAGTAGGACAGGAATCATACATCTCTAGATTGAAACATACTCTGATTTGTCTCTCCCCTTTTCACTTCCACCTTCTCCATTTTCACTGATGGACGACCTGAAAGATCTTCCATCTGAAAGAAAGGTTAAGAATAGATCATCATGGAGAAAATTTAGATGGTCTCTAGGACTTAATGATGGCTTGATGGCATATAACCAATTAATCAATCTTCCTTCATTTCATTGTGTAGGGAAGAAGCTATCCATCTGTGATGGGACCCGATGAGTGTTGCGAGTAGCTTTTCCTAGCCCTTGTCAACTGTGTCTGGTGACAGAGAAATTCATAGATTTAATGTGGTAAAAGGCAGAGATTACTTTCTCCTGTACACCGTCTTGACAGTGTGAGGAGAAAAGTCATACAGAGAGTTTTAACTTCCTGTCTTTGTATGGAGGGAAGCCATCTAGTAGTGGAGGTAGCAACAGTTGCTCCTTGGTGTGGGCTGAAAGGAAGGGCTCTGCCAACTCCCAGTTGCCTGTAAAAATTCCATGCCAAGATAATTTTGTTCTCCCTTACTTCGGCACCCAAGAGAACTACGCCCCAAATAGATGTGATGAATGTATAAACGGTGGAGTGTCGTTTTCTAAATTCTCAGAAACCTCACCTACCTGAATGTGGAAGGAAATCTGCTTTACTCCTTGCCTTGTGGGATTCTGAAACTTCAGCTGAGCCGCCTGCTGGTGGAAAACAACTTCTTGCATGCCTGTTTCTGGAATGAGACTTTCCTGATGCAACCTCAGCGACTTACGGACATGGCTGCCCTGTGCTTCGTTAAGCACCAGCTGTGGAAAATATATCATCATTTACCAGAGGAGATTCACAATATCATAAGCAAGTAAGTAAGGTGCCATCAATGCAAGGGCTCTGTTGAGTGCAAAAAGGGGACAATGAAGAAGCTCACCAATAATTACAGGGCCAAAAAAAAAAAAGTCTAGTAGGTAACCACCAGTCTGTGCCAAAACGAGCAAGGACCAGGTTCTGAAGAGGGTGCAGCCACATTGACAGCCATTTGCTATAACTCAATAAACTATAATACCTAAAGTCATGGACTATGGACACACACCTATTTAAATCATGGTTTATTGAATAAGGCTGAGGTAATGTAAGGGTTTAACAAATGGGTAAAGCAAACACAGTATAATAAGAATGTCTTAAATTGGTCTAGTGAAAAAAATAATAAATAGGAGTGACTTAATGACTATGTATGTTTGAAATGCAGGCATGCTTTCATGTCATTCATTTTTATTTCCACTTTTCCTCTACCACATGGTTTTCTCTACCAATTTTTTTCTCTTCATAGTCACCCTGATAACTAACAGCACCAATCATAACAATTTTTATTTATATTCTATCTTGCCACTCCAAAGCCACTCAGATTGCATTCCTGTGAATGGACTCTCACATCATATTTAGTCCAAGTTTAGTCACGGTTTATTGCGTAAAGCAGAATTGGCTAGATTCATAAACAAAAATAGCTGGATTTATGCAACATGCTAACACCAGTCAGTCAAATTCTATTGTTATGTGAACAAGCTTGTTATGTGAACCTGTCAGAAGTTAGACCTATTGAATCCAATTGGACTTGTTCCTAAATAAGACTAGAAAATACATTTTTTTCAATGAACAAAAGAAATGACTCTTAGACTCCCCAGTTCCAGTTTGACACTGTAATTGAAATAAAAATGCATCAAATTAGAATGCATGATTTTATTTATCATCAGAAGGCACGACTTGAATTATTGATCTCAGGTCATTATAACTTTCACTTCTCATTTTCAGATTTTATTTTTGCATACTTTAAAGATACAATATCCAATATGTTTCATAGTGCATATTAGCTCGTAAGACAATCTTAGTAGAAGTTAATAAAGTAGTCTGTGGGCCAGATGACTGTATGCATTCATATTTGATTACCCAAGGTGTTTCATTTTTGGTTCATTTCATAAGAGACAAAATGGAAGCCTTCTGCCTTGCTCTTCAGTGTGCAATGCTAACATTGCAAACTGTGTATCCACAGCAGTTCCTTGGGCATAAAACATAAGCAATCATAGACCAATTCCTTCTTCTGAAACCTAATATGAAAGCATTGGGATATTTTAACAGTCCTTGATAGAGTTCTTCTCTTTCTGCTACAGATTTATATGTCACACTTAGAACATTCTTTTGAGCAGGTTCCATCTCCATATATTTACTGTATATATTTGTGTATAAGCCCTGTGTAAGCCCATCCAGAAATAAGCTGACCTTCGATTTTTTTAACCAAAAATGTGCTGCCCATGGATAAGCTGATCTGCAGTTTTTATGGTATTTTGAATAAAATTTCAAAGATTAGCTTATCCGCAGATGGGCTTATATAGAAAAATATAAGCACACTGTATATGGGTACTTAAAAAAAATATTACTGTATATTCACACAGATAAACCCATCCAAAACCCAATTTTGGGGATGCATTTGGCACCTAAAATTCTTAGCTCATCTGTGAGTTCATACTTTCTTAGCATAATATTTGTGTAGTACTTGATTCCAAACAGGTTCTGCTTCAGTATTAACCATAAATGACAGGTGCCATACCTTCTTGTTCCGGTTTGATTCCTAGTGACCTTTTCACTTCTAAATGGCAGATAGGAATGTAATACATGTTTGCTAAATCTTCCTGCTTTGTGGAAACACCAAGCAAAGAAAGCTGCACCCGTTAAAGAGGGTAGAGGGTAAAAAGCATAGTAATATTAATGGAAGTATTACACCCTGCTAAAGAGGATAAAGCACTGCAATATTATAAACCTTACAAAAGTAAATAACTGTACTTGGTTAAGAAAGTTTGGAGATGTTCTACAGCCTAACCAGGAAGGTGTCTAGAGTTGTTTATTCCAATATGCTCTGGACTTAGCTGCCCTTTGAAACTGATACACAAGTAGGAATGCCAGCACACTTTTGAGTTCAAATCTCCCATCTGCCATAAACTTTCAGTAGTGAGTTTAAAGGATCGGCTTCAATTTGTTCTCCCTAGTTATGTGACACTGACCTACTTTCTTCCCCCTTCAGCTTTACAGGCTGTGACTGCTGCATGGGACCCTTGTATGGAAAAGGCTTTCGTTTTATCCTCATTTATAGAAACATTTATGGATTAAGGCTTCCTTATCAATTTTCAGCTTGCTCACCAGACTGCTATACAGCCTTTGTCAAGTCAGCTGTGCCCACTTGATGGATGATAATGTCGACTGAGATTCAGGCAAAGTGAAAATAATCTGTTGAATAAAGCAAGCAAGCAAGCATTGCTTTGGGTATGGAAGTGACTTTTTTTTTTTTTTTTGCAAATGTGTATATTATGCAGACCTCTGGTGGGGGTCTTGTGACATTCAAAGTTCAGTTATTTATTTATCGTATTTAGAAAGTGCCCATCCCCCTCCTAGAGGACTAGGCATTCTCTCGATTGCTACCCCCCTCTGTAAGCAATGTTGTGAAAATCCTAGCACCTTTTCCAGTTTTTAATTTTAAAAAAAATGGAGACTAACATTAAGTCTTTTAATGTAAATTAGTATTCAGAATTTGAGGATCCTTTTTTCTTAGCACAATCTACAATGGCAGATTGTATATATGATTAAAGGGATGTATGTATATATCTGATAGGTATAGTGCTAGTTTTTACTGCTGTATATTTTACTACTGTATATTTTACTGCTGTATATTCTACCTTGTAATAAAACAAAATATTATGTACGGATATGTTGCTTGATGGTGTGATTTCCCACTTTAGAACAAACTAAATGACAGGCATCTAGAATCACGTCTTCCTGTATGTACAAGGCAAGATAATCACAGCCATTTTACTCATGATTTGTGCTGGTAGTTTTTTGTGCTATTTAAATTTAAATAAACTAAAACAGCGGTTCTCAACCTGTGGGTCGCGACCCCATTTGGGGTCGAACGACCATTTCATGGGGGTCGCCAAACAACGCAGTCCGCCATTTTTTCCCCCCTTTTCCTTAGCTGTGCTACTCCCTTTTATTCTATTGGCTTTTGAAAGCCAATAGAATAGACTCTCTTGAATAGAGTCTAATTCTATTGGCTTTCAAAAGCCAATAGGAATTGTCCAGGCTGTCTCTGCCCTGCTGAGCCCGCCAAAAGCCCCAGTCTGCAAACGGTGCTGCAAGTTGTCTGCAGCGAAGGCGAGCTGTCTGGAAGCTTCCTGCTGAGCAACTACTAAAAATGTAAGAGGGCCAGGGGTGGGAGGTGGGAGGCCGGCGGGCGCAGGGAGGGATGCTGGCACGGTGGGGCCCGGAGGGTGCCTTACCTCCCTTGGGCTGGGCCAGCTGGTGGCCCAGCCGGTGGTCGCCCTGTGCCATCGCTGCCCCTTGCCAACTACGCCTCGGCCGGCGCAGGGGACGGCACCACGCATGCGCAGCGCTCCCGGGCAGGGAAAGTCCTCGACTTACGACAGGTTGGGTAGTCCTCGAATTATGACCAGTTGAGTAGTCCTCGACTTACGACCTGTTGGGGTTGCGGCATTAAAAAGGTTGAGAACCACTGAACTAAAACAAACCAATAAATGTAAGCAGCAGTGCATTTAGAATGCAATGTATGCAGCAATAGATAATACTTTGGTCAATATACAAGAGGATACTAATGCTGCTCGAGGATTTTGGAATATATTTGCATAAATCTTGGTTTTGCATGGCTTATAGAAGGGTTGTTTGCAGACATGTACATTGTGTAAACTTTCTGTGGTCTAAGATTAAGTTTGATTTTATAAGATCTCTTGACCGCTACCCCAACTGTAATCTGAGCTGTTTGGGGAAATCCTAGCAACACTTCAGCTTCTTTTGTCCTAAAGGTGCATTTTTAGGAGGCAACTGCACTTCCTTGTTTTTCTTTGAAGACGTTTCGCTTCTCATCCAAGAAGCTTCTTCAGCTCTGACTGGATGGTGCGGAATGGAAGGATTTATACTCCTTGCAGACAGCTGGTCACTTGCCTTCTTTTAAAGAGTCATTGAAGCCATTTGGAGGTTCACCTATGTCCTCAGAGTCACCTGAGTAGTGCAAATGTGTGTGGAGCCTTCTTGGCCATGTCCATTTCCCACCATCCAGTCAGAGCTGAAGAAGCTTCTTGGATGAGAAGCAAAACGTCTTCAAAGAAAAACAAGGGAGTCCAGTTGCCTCCTGAAAAAGCACCTTTGGGACAACCACGACCTGGATGACTTGAGAATCTCCATAGGCATTCAGCTTCTTTTGACTACAAAGTAAAAATATAACACTGTAAATACCATTTACGTACCATGATAAATCTTGAAAAGGTTTAATATTTGGACTTTTGTACTATAGTCTAAAATTATTATTTTGCCCATTATGTAACTGGAAAAAACAAACCCTTCCACGAAGCTGCAAAAAAATCAGGACTCAATGCAATTTGCTACGGCAAGCTATAAAAGGCTGAAGAAACAGCAGAAGACTCCAAAACTTCTGCAGCTGTGCAGAAGTGCTTAATTATATTCCCTGCCAATTCTGCCCAACTAAATGAAAGTAATGGTCTTTTACTGAAAAAAACTTAATGTTTTCATTTTTGTCATTTCCATTCAAAAATACATAGAGCAAGACAGGGATCCCCAACCTGTGGGCTGTGGCCCGATCCCGGGCCGTGGGCTCGCCAGCGGGCCACGGAAATGGCTGGCCAGTGCACGCATGTATGGGCGCGCATTCCCACTTGTGTAGCACCCGTGACATTTGTGCATGTGTGTGGGCACAACTGGGGCCGCTAGCGCTGAGCAGGTATGCACAGCCTGTTTGCGCATGTTTGAACGGGGCCACTAGCCGCCATGGGTATGCAGCAGTTCATGATGTGGACGGCGCTAGCGCATGTGCAAATGGGACTGCTAGTGCCGTGCTAGTGGATGTGGCCCTGTTTGTGTGCGTGGGCATGCATGTGCATGTCCACCAATTTGGAAGCTGCTCTCCTTCCCTCCGGCTGCAAGCCCAGAAAGGTTGGAGACCTCTGTAGTAAGATATAACCATGAGGTATGCCTGGGGACATGAACATGAAAGTATGTAAATTTATATATCCATATTACAGTTGCAGTCTTTATTGCTTTGTGTATCTGAAAGAGTGATGATCTAATTCATTCAAAATTAGACAAGCATGTTAAAAATATTTATTTTGAATCATCAGGACTTCATTGCAATTTGTAGAAATAGTAATCACAGAGAGAATCTTTGCTGTTTATTTCCACTGATCTCTTCAAGATTTTTTATTCTCAGACGTTCCCATAGGGAGACTCAGTCAAGCATTGAGGTATTTGGCATGGTGTCTGATATGGTCATTAATGAACGTTGCAATAAAGTAGTAACTGTGATCGTAGCCCTAAAGAGAGAAAAAGACCAGATGGCTTCAAAAACCAAGCAACAATGTCAGAAGCATATGCATGTAAGACTCCTTTACAACTATCACTCTGGCAGGAGAAGATATTCTCCACCACTAAGGGGAGCTGAATCACAAGCACATGGTAAGATCTGAAATCACCTCCTCATGAGTTTCTCAAATGAACAGGAATCTAAGGCTTTAATCTCATGTAATACATACCCAGCTGTACACAAGCCTCAACGGAAAGCATAGGATTGTAGTATAAATGTTTAATATTTCTTTTAAAACTTAATTTATGGCCAATTGGGTGCACAGTGTTTCAAACCTGAAACACCTGTTCAACGTTATTGTGAGTGTGCTGATCCTGTTCTGGAAATGTTCCAAATACTTGTAAATTGAAACAGCCATTCCAAGTTTGGAATGGTTCCAAAACAGTCAAAATTCTTTGGGAAAAGGCGGAGGGCCCATCTGAAACTGTAAACAACTGCAGAATTTGAAAACTCTTCCACACCCATGGCTTTCTCCTTTGTGTACAATATTTAACCTCATAGGAGTCTCTCATTCACTGATATTGCAAACCCAGAAAATTACATTCCAAATCTTTAAAGCCACTATTTAAAGCCGTGTCAATCCTAAACCTAATCAGGCAGTGGCTTTTCTTTCAACACTGCACTGTAACTGGGCTTCTGAAAGATTTCCTATGAATTAGCTGAGTTCCTAACATGTAATTCTTTTTCTCCTACTTTGTTCCTCCCTTCTAAAAGGTTTGACTTTAGTTGATAGTACTGCACTGAAGACACAGAAATCATAATCCAAGTACAAACATTTTTTTATGATTTCCAGCTGGTTTGGGAGCAACCAACCAGAACAAAGAGTTTCTTCTTTAACATTCACGTTACTGGGAGTGAATGGGCTACAGACCAAAGCATGCAGCTGATTATCGGCAAGCCAGAATTCGTCAGTGTAGAGCAAAGCCAGAAAAAGTCTGATTAACCACTAACGTTCCTAGATGCTTTAGCTCAACATTTAGTGAGACGGGAAAATCTGTATGATCCGTGCACAATTCTAACACCTAGATTTTCAGTTTCTCGAAACCTATGTGGTTATTTAAAAACCCATTTAATTAAATAATCACTTTTTACTTATCTGTCCCTTTCCGAGTGAGATTTAAGCACTACATGCAAACAAACTAAAACCCAGCTTTGGAGCATTACCTGCTGCAACCTAAAAACTACTGGGATTTTCTGTTCTGTGCAAGCAGCAATGAAATTATCGGGTAGTAACTGTCCTGCTGTAAGGAACTGATCATCTTTGCCTTGGTCTATTAGGATATCCAGAGGAGAGCCTTGATAGGTTTTCGCAATGTGTGTGGCATCGTAGGCCTACGAGAAGAAAAAATGCATTAACTTCTAACAATAGCATCAGCCTGGCCAGATTAATAGCCATAGCAATAGCACTTATACACTGCTTCACAGTGCTTTACAGCCCTCTCTAAGTGGTTTACAGAGTCAGCCTGTTGCCTCCACCAATCTGGGTCTTCATTTTACCAACCCCAGAAGGATGGAAAGCGAAGTCAAACTTCAGCCAGTGAGAATCGAACTGCTGAACTGCTGGGATTCTAACCATTATGCCACCCTGGCTCATATAAGGTGAGAAAGACAAAGGGGAGCGCAGACAAAAAGCAATTTCACACAACTGGCTTATAACCACTTGGCATCTATTAGGTACAATGGAATGCATATAATTTGAATTCCCTTTGGTTTTAGAAATCCCAAGAAGGGAACAAGTTCCCTTTCATTTGCAGCCACTACCAGCTGGAAGAATAAAATACTTTCAGTCTGGCATTCATCTGTCAGAAGTATTAAACAGAAGGATCTAGCATTCCAACCTCACATCTCCCTGGCATCAACAAATAAGTATTAATCCATTTTTTCTGGCAGTAGCTGCTTTTAAAGTCAACATCCAGATTGTAAATCGCTAGCTATAAAATGATAGCTATAATTACTTTAAAAACTCAGTCAAAAATAGATGAATAAGGAATATCTACAGGTGTACAAATATTTTCAAATTGAAAACACATCTTTTGCTTTCAAAAGAAACTATTTCCAACCATATCAAAGCTGGAAACACTTGCACCTGAAAACAGGGCATTTCTAAAATGAAACAGAGTTGCTTTGGACGCAAAACACATCCAAACAATCAAAGCATTTTGAATGGGGAACTGATTGCAACTCAAAATAGGGAATTTTAAATTTGAAATGATCTGAATTAAAAACACTGCATACTTTTAACAAAACTGATATAACGAGTGTTTTTGAATGCTGAAAGCTGATTTGTATAACCTTTGTCTGCTGGTGGAATCACAACTGGACTCTGCATGGTTAGTTTTGAACTGATAGAAATAATTTATTGACATTTTTAAAACAACTGCAACTTATTCCATATTATATATGGGATGACATTTTCAGTACATACTTCCCAATTCGTGGTGTTCGATCCTAGATATCCACTAAAAGCCTTTTTCCCCCATGGACACTGCACTGGGTTGCAGATTGGAGCAAATGCTGAAACAGACTAT